ACAACACCAACTACAACAACAACAACAACATCAGCCTGCCTATCAGCATCCATCCCACGCCAACCCACAGAGACACCACCTCCAGCAGCAACAGCAGGCCGAGTATAAAGTCCACCAGCAGCACCGGCCCCAATCTCCCCCTTCGCCACCAGCTGAGGACCAGAAGCCTTCATTGCCTTCCATCTCAAGTCTATTGGAGTTTGCCGGTGGTGACAAGGCAGCATCAGAACCAGGTAAGCCAAATAAGAAGGAGAAGAAGAGGAAGAAGAAAATAAATAAATATCATAGCACACACTACCCCCCCACCCCCATTGTGCTATCAATTCCCATTCCCCCAAACAAGCCACTAACGAGGGTCGCAGCTTCCCAAAGTCCTCAATCACAACACCGACATTCATCATCATCACCACAGCCAAGGCAGGCACCACACCACCGACAGGCAGGAGCCATGCAGCAACAACAACAACAACAACAACAACAACACATGGCTCGTCCAGAACAGCAACAACCCAGCCTGGCCAACCCAAGGATGACTCTTCCCCCAACGCCACCCATGCATCATCATGAAGCTGCGCACGAGGGCAACCACTCGCCTTCTTCCACCTCGACGCACTCTGCTTCAGCCGCCTATTTCGGTACATCGCTGAACAACTTGGAACCCCATCACCAGCGCCAATCAGTGTCCATGTCCTCCATGTCCTCCATCAAACGGGACTCGGTCGCTTCTCACTCCATGTCGCCGTACACGGCTTCAGTCTATGGCCAAGCACCCTACACCCCTTCGCCTGCAGCTGCACCTTCCACGCCCTTCTACTCTCCCGAGCAGCATTCCTACAACAGGGTAGGCATGTACGGCCAACAACCCCTTCCTTCCAACTTCCAACCACAAAACATGCCTCTGCCTGCCCCTGTACCCAACTCGGCTGCAAACAGTGCCAATCCATGGCAACACCACCACTACATCAGCACCTCGAGTCAGTCGCAATTCCCCCAATCCCAGGACCGCTACATCTGCTCGACCTGCAACAAGGCCTTTTCACGGCCAAGTAGCCTGCGCATACACAGCCACAGCCACACGGGGGAGAAGCCATACAAGTGCCCACAGCCAAACTGTGGCAAGGCCTTTAGTGTCCGAAGTAATATGAAACGACACGAGCGAGGTTGTCATGCGGCGACCAGCACCACGCTCACGACATGATGACCCAGAAACTAGTACATCTCTCTCTCTCTCTCTCTCTCTCTCTCTCCTGCAACAGCTGTAGATGAACCGAGGTTGGTAAACAATCCACCAGCGTCCATATTGACACCGCATGCGCTTCTTTCTACTTGGGACGCTTGTTTATGATACCACCTGCTTTCAGCGGCGTTCTTGGAGTCCACCTCCACAAGTTGAGCATTTTACTGGAGTATCTTTTCTTCCTTTCTGCCACGATATCTTCCGTCGCCATGAAGCGGCGGTAGTGTATCTATACCCTCGTCTAGCGGTTTGCGACGAGTGGCCGATCCCCGTTTGGGATCCAATCTATTTTGGGAGCGTGTGTGTATCTTGGCCATATGGATGTAACATAGTTGGGAAACAGTCTTGAGGGTCAGATGGGCTTGCCCAAGAACTGACCAAATGAAAATATTATTCGACTATTCTTGCTGGGCTGCCTGTAATCCGCCTTGCTATGTTGATTTTGTGAAATGCGCAATCCGCGGGTGAAAGCTTGAAGGAATGACTTGCCTGCATGCACTGCAACGGTGATGGGTGACTGTGGATGCTAGGCCACGGCTGATGGAGAGTCTGGCTGGTTCGCAGGGCTTCAACACGAGCGCCATGATACTACTGTATCATAGATGGATAACCCCAGTTGGGCACGTAAAGCTACGACGCAGGAAAGCTGTGTTCCCTGCCCAGTGTCCACTTGCTGTCCAAGTTGGGCATGTTAACCGCCAAATGACCACGACGTCACTGCTGGAGCACCCTATCCCTCTCGTTCTCACCCAAGGCTGATGCTCAAGCTTCCCAGCCCGTTCCCACGATTGCCCACGAGGCTACAGCAGGACGAATTTTTTGATATGAATGTGGTAACTAGTCCAATGCATCCCTGGCTTTGGTTGCTGACTGACCCTCTTCTTCCCTCGACATGTTTTGCCTCGCCTACCGTACCGTAGACGTCGACGATCGCCAAGGAAAGATTCTCGTATATTGATCGGTCAGTCCAGGAGCGTGCTCAATGGAGTGCTCCAGCCTGCTTAGCCTGCACACATCTTCACATGCTATGTCATTGCGACATCCCCAGGCTCCACAAAACAAGTCTGTACCGAGATGTGGTTGAGTACCGGTAGATGCAAGTCTTGCTTAGGTACACAGCACAAGGAGCCGGAAAAAAGAGGCAATACATTCGCCAATTCCCTTTGCCCATGAGTTTTCCCACCGCCACGGCCGCCGCGGCAAAGACGAAACAGAAAAAGAGGCAGATCGGGGGTAAGAAAATCGCCGTGCAGGATCAGCATGGCAGCGCAATCTAGATACTGCGTCGGTAATCTTGCTGGCTTCAGACTCTTGACTGCCAGACAGCCCAATCAAGCTGAAACGACGGGTGCAAGTCGCAGTGCAGTGGGTGGGCATGTGAAGGGTGGCGCCGGACAGTTGCAAAGAGACGTAGGTAGGTAGGTAGATGGGTAGGTAGAGAGAGAGAGTCCCCGGCACACATGTCCATACATGGACACCCGTACCGTAACCGTGCATCGGAATCCCCTCGCATCAAAAAAGCAATCCCATAACGGTATCATTCGATCAATGTATCCGTCGCCTGCCGCATGAAAAACAGCTGATGATGCGTCTCCCCCTCCCCCCTCTCCCCCGGACGTGCGCAACGAAGAGAGAGAGAGAGAGAGAGAGACAGCAGGGGTGGTTGCGCACTCGAGAAAGTATAGTTCTGGTCTGCAACTAGGTACATGACATACACACCCCCCCCCCCCCCCGCCCACATACACACATACGCACGCACACACATACATGTACGTGGACCTCGTTCGAATCCCCCGAGGCTGGAGTTGTGGTTTGTGGTACGGATTTAGTAGCACGCGCTGGTTTGGCAGGACGCTTGGTCGCTGGGCATGGAGGTAGGTTGGTTGGTAGGTAGGTGGGATCGGCTGTGTTTACCCCACTTGGGTACCGGTACCGGTATCTGGGTACAAGGGCGAAGCGAGGAGAGAACAAAGGAAAGAAGGAGCAGGAAAAGGAAGGAAAAGCCAGGGATTGGCAAGTTGAGAAACGGTGGGAAAAGCATGGGGATGTGGGTGGGTGGTTTGGTGGTACATGGTATGTGGTATGTGGGATGTGGGATGTGGGATGTGGTATAGGTATCGGTATGGTACATACGGTACCTCTCTATACATGCCTACCCACCAAATAAAACCCCCAGCACATCCAACCCAACCCAATCCAACCAACCACCAACCAAACAAGCTCAGCTCAAAAATAAATAAACAAGCTGAGACTGAATCAATGAATACAACCGATGAATACACGCAGAAAAGGTCTTGACGCCGCGCCCACCTTGCCCGATACAGTCAATCTGCAGCCTGCGACAACGGGATTATCGGGCGCACTACCGGTACACCCCATTGTATGCTTGGGCTTACTGTATGTTTCAGGGCTTTTTGGGGTAGAGTGGTTTGTACAGCGGTTGGGATGCCGTCTTTGGACCGGTGCACCCATCCACATCCATCGGTACAGGACCGGGACTTCCAGCAAAGCCCGAATGTCGCGACATTGTGCCATGGCCATGCAATAGTCATGTCCTGTCTAGAGTAGCTCATCTACGGTATGTAACCATCTACTAGGTGTAATTAGACATGATTGCCTACCTTGCCGTTCCCGATGGACAGGTACGTAGGTCGAGGTCCACCAATCAGCTTGCGTGTCCGGTGGGAAGGTCGGCCATGGGTCCTTGGGACTTTTTGCTGTTTTGGGGGGTGGATGGAGGGATGGATTGATGGATAGATAGATTGATGGACTGATTACTGATGCTGGATGCAATGCCATCTGGAAATAGCCAGCTTGGGGCGTTAGCTATCGAACAGGAGTGCGTGCTCCATGACGCGCAGGTCTCTCGTATACCTACAACAGGTACAGTACAGGACCTAGTCATGGGAATTGGCAGTTTCAGAAGTCAGTGTGTTGCTTCTTTACGACTCTTCACACATACATCGATGTGGATGACGGTGACGGCTGTTACAGCGGTAGACCCTGGATGAGTCAATGTTCGAGAAGGCGCAGAAGAAGAAGAAGAAGAAGAAGAAGAAGAAGAAGAAGAAGAAGAAGGAGCTTGTGCCAAGTCTAGGGACCTACCTACCCCAGCTGCCACAACAGTGAACCACCACCAACCACCCTCCGTCGCCCCTGTTCTTTACCGGTACCTACCCACCTACACCCACCAACATGGCTCGTTGCACACGACACAGGCACCGCAGGCTACGCAGGCAGCTCATCCAATTCACCATCCCGCGCAGAGTCACCCTATGTTGTCACCACTCCAAAGCAAGTAATCTTGTCCGAAATGAGCGTGTGCACCACTGTCTTTGTCAGGTCATCTGGCCGCATAAACACTACCCGTCTGCACGCTTCACCACTGCGATCGACGCCCACTTCTTTTTCATGCCACTTCATGAGTCGTGAGCCTTCCCTCCCCCGGCCTTATTATGGACTCTCTTTTTTTTCCAATCCTCTCTGAGCCGCGTGGGATGAGATGGGATGCGATCCGATGCCATGTCCAGCGGTGACTTAGTTGGGCTATGCCATCCATCCCATTACCTTGAGACCCGCCGAAAGGGGTTTGGGGGAAATGACCGAGCGAGCAGCGGCCGTCCGTCGAGCAGCAACACACGACTCATTTACCCATGTCGGCGACTTCTGTGATCGCCTTTGGTTCCCACCCAGTACCCTCGCTTTTGGCGATTGACCCGGCGAATCCTCTCCGGTTTTCCCAGCTTCACCCTCGCTGTCCGTGATCAACCCGGGCCGTTCCTGCAATCTTGCGCAACGATCATGGGCCAAGTCCATATCCAATAGGGACATTAAAGACGGCCCATACACCCATCCCAGAGCCCTTCTGCTTCTTTTTCTACTCCATTATCATATGCCTCTCATCACCGTGTGTACAGTGGGATAGGGTACGCAGCAGGCACCACCGGGACCTGTTTTGCCCCAGTGGCCCCCGGCGTTGACTGCCCAAACTGTCATGCAAACTCTATCTACAAAGAAGAGCGAGAGCGTGTATGAGAGTGATTGTATGGCTGGCTAGCGGGAGCTAATGGATGGCGCAAATCGGAGCGAAAACTGTGCGCCACCCTAACTTCCAAGGGCCCTTTTGGCACGTTTGACATGACCCTTCGCCTAGACTTGTCGACGGGGATCATGCCCGCACCAGCGCAGACACTGACAAGCGACCGATAGGTGATGCACACGCAATGGAACGAGGGTCGAACAGCGTGCTACATGTCTATGATGTAATGGGTAAGACGATCTTGAGGCCTTTTGCCCCACGCTACCGGCCATGCAACCAGCCATCAGCGCCGGCTTCACTCGCTCGCTCTGCCCTGCCTTTGCCTGCTACTAGCCATGGCCGCGTCGAATCTCCCGGGCACCCGGAAGTCTGCTTCCTGGGAGCCCGATTCGCCGCTCTCTTTCTTCTGGGGAATGCTGGAATGCGATCAGGTACCCAGCCAGCCACTGTCTTTTTCCCCTCTTGTCCAGCCGTCCAGTCCATTTACATGTGCAATCTGCTTTCTTTTATCAATATTCTTCTTCTTTTCTTCTTTTCTTCTTCTTCTTCTTCTTCTTCTTCTTCTTCTTATCATCATTCTTCTTATTTTTGACGATCGACGACGCTCCTGTCGGATGTCGGTCGGGCGGCACTATCTCATATCTGCACCCCCTCAGGTAAGATTAGATTTTAGCCAAGGCCAAAAAAACCTTCACACAAGTACACCAAGCAACCAAGCATAGCAGAAGAGTTATCCGCATCCTATTAGCTCATTCGGGTCTTTGATTGTACCATGTCGGCAGACCGAAATGCCGACCTGTAGGTAAATGAAACAGAGTCTATGCAATCACGGAGCCGCGCTGATGGATGCATGCCACGGCTCATGCCATGCATGCATTGCCCTTGGTGTGCTTTTCTTTCTCTCGGGGCCGCCACCCAGGGATGACGATTCACTTCCTCCCCAAGGGTAAACTTTGCTCGATATCTACAGTACTTTCCCCTCCTAGGTACAGTACCCAGTTACGTTCCGGCTCACGTGCGAAATGGGCGGCACGGCATGCGCAAGATGTCCGGAACGCCGGCGTGGGAAGTTTGGTACAGCTGCGGAAACTGCCCCGATGGCGGGGCCGATCATGATCGTCGTTGCAGTTTGGGGGTGGTGGGTGGTGGAACTTGTTAGGCGCCGTATAGGTACATGTATGCGTATGTTGTATGTACATGGTAGGCTTCGCGCCTTTTTGTGTTTTTTTGGTGGACTGATCTTCAGGCCCTGGGGTGAGCGTGACGCTGTAGGGAAAAGTCTTGTTCTTGTTGGCGTATGTACGTGGGGGTGTGCCGTAGCGTACTGTAGAGGTAGGTATAGTACCTAGGTCTATGTCATAGTACATACACGTCTGTATAGTATACTACAGTAGAGTATACTATGATACGATACACTACCCAAGGTCAGGGAAGGGAATGTCTGCCACCCTTCTCCCCTCCCCCAACCCAGCCCCAACAATCCAACCATGCCACCCACCCTACCAGCACTCTTCACACCATCCAAGCAGGGCTGAACCTCTCTCAAACTCTCCTCTCCCCTCCCAACCCAAACACTTCCCGACCCATACATTCCCCCCACGTTTTCCCAACTAGCAAGTCAGGTCCCCTCAACAATCGCAGTCCAGTCCACTCGGCTCAGCCCAGTCTTGCCCGGCATTTGCGCTTAATTCGGGGCCCTGGATGACGGACAGGAGCGGTCGCAGGAGCGGCAAGGGTAATGGCGATGGCGACGGCGATGCGTACGGTGATGGCGACGGCGACGGCGATATCGACTGCAACGCTGACGCATGAGAAAAGAGGGAAAAAAAATAACCTTTATCCGACGGTTTCTCTCACAAACGCTGTGCACAGGATCCCCACCTACCCAAACCAGCCCCGGCCGGCCAGACTCTCGGCTATCTGTATTCGGTGTACCGGGACCGGTGCCGGGGCAGGATGGTATATGATACAGCTGCTTTGCCGCTTATATACTGGGGTGTTTGTTGTAGCGTTGGCATGTGTAGACGTGAGTTGGTTTGAGCCGCATCCCCGTGTGTGTATATGGATGTGGGATAGGGCATGGTGGTTGCTGTGGGATAACCGTACTGGTACGTACTAGTACCGTGCCTATATCCAACACAAACATGCCTACTAGATGCACGGTTAGTATGGTATAGAAGGTATGCTAGGTCAGAGGTTAGAGGTTAGAGGTAAGCCTTTCTAACAAGGGGAATAAACGCCGCGCTTATCCCCTTGTTCATGTCTTGTAGGTACCAGTACGGTATCTGCCAAGTATACGCATGTGGGGGTAGTTAGTTGTGTTCCTTAAGAGGAGATTTATGCCTTTGAGGCTTACTTGCTTGCTTGCTTGCTTAGCAGTACTTGCTTACCTTGCTTGCATGCTCACATACGCACACGCACACACGCATACGCATACGCATACACGCGCAAACCCCTGTCTTGCTTCTTTCCCAATCGGTTAGTTTCCCTTTGCGCCGTTGCACCTGGGACTAAGCGCTAGGTGGGATGTCCCAGGCCTACCGGATACGGGATCGAGGTTTTTGAGTTGGGGGAGTTTGGTGCGTGGGTGTAGGTAGCACTACGGTAAAAAATTGTTTACTGTAGAATGGTACGCTAGGGGTTTACTATATAGGTGTAAACTGACCTCGTGTATACCCGTAAATAGGTTTAAAGTGGTGGTTTACTTTTATTAAAGTAGTAGTTTACTTTTATAGTAGGGGTTTAAATTAAGTATAAAAAGTAGTTTTATTTCTATTATACGCTATAATACCTAACTAAGACTAAAAGGGGTAGAAAAGATTAGCTTCACGCTATACGCACATATGACATAATAATGAGTCATGATATTTTTACTAATAGGAGGTGGTGATAATAGGAGGTGGTGATAATAGAGGTGGTGGTGGTGGTGGAGGTGGTGGTAGTGATAGAGGTGGTGGTAGAGGTGGTGGTAGTGATAGAGGTGGTGGTAGTGATAGAGGTGGTGGTAGAGGTGGTGGTAGAGGTGGAGGTAGTGGAGGTAGTGGAGGTGGTGATAATAGAGGTGGTGGAGGTGGTGGAGGTGGTGGAGGTGGTGGTAGTGATAGAGGTGGTGGAGGTGGTGATAGAGGTGGTAGAGGTGGTGGTAGAGGTGGTAGAGGTGGTAAAGAAGATTAAAGAAAGGAGGGGTAAAATACTTAGATAGTTAGTAGGAAACTAGTTATTACAGTACTACGTAATACTAGTAGATTAATAGAAGTAGAAATAAAAGTAGTTTACTTTTATAGAATACATGGTATAATAAACCCTATTTAGGTTTACTTCTTCTACCTAAACCACTTCTTAGTCTACTTTAGATAAATATGGCTACTGTAAACCGGTTTTGTACCGTAGTGTACGGTTTTCAGCATCAGTATACAGGACAGCATCTAGCCCTCAGTGTCTGGCATCTAACATCCAGCACTAGCATCTGACATATGTTTTCCATCTTCCATCCCCACATTCCCCGCATCCACAAAAGTCTACGTACAGCCCACCGTGTCTCATAGACTCTGAAAAGGCCAGTTCCAACTGAGTTTCTGACCTCAGATCAGGTTGTACACCGCCAGACTATCAAGTCCAGAACACAGGATAGCACACGAAGTTTCCCCGATCCCAGCAGGGAACCACTGCCATCGCAAAACGTCCGTGCAATCACCACAAACACGTGGCCCTGCGAAAGCCATAAAAGTGAAGCTGCAACCATGGCATTACCGCCATTTCTGCCGTAGCGCTGATGGAAATCATAGCAAAAAGGGGGTAACCCAGTAAACCACAATGCTGTTCATTATACTTTCCATCAGTTCCTGTAGTACTACTATACAGAACCGGTTTACTATAGCTATATTTATCTAAAGTAGACCACAAAGTAGTTCAAGTAGAAGAAGTAGATATAAATAGAGCTTATAGTAGAAGGTACTCTACCTTAGTAAACTACTTTTATTTCTACTTCTATTAATCTACTAGTATTACGTAGTAATAACTAGTTTCCTACTAACTTTTAAGTATTTTACCCCTCCTTTCTTTAATCTTCTTCACCACCTCTATTACTACCTCTACCACCACCTCCACC